CCTCCTTTAAGCTGTGAGGGTGGCTCCACTCTCTTCTATAGTCAGTCCTCCTCTTAATTACACAGCAAACAGGCTTCTGTCCATCCATCAGTGGTGACTGAAGTCTTACATCTGCTGAAGGGTTAGACATTGCATGATTTCTGTCAGGAGCATGGTGGGAAGTTCTAGTTTACCTGGCTGCTGAGAGTGGGTGAGTAGTCACTTAGCAAACAAATGAGGACAACAGCCAACATGGATTCTCTTGCATTGAGATCAGGAACTGTGGGAAGTCTCCCTACTAAAGGCTGGACTGATGACACCCAGCTCTCTAGTTCTTACGTGGACAGACCTTTCTAGTACTTGGACAATCCCTGAGAAGAATTCAGTTCTGGAATGGTCTTTTTTGGCTGCAGGATGCAATGTTTCTATCCACACACAATCAGGGCTCGAATGGCCAATGGACCCCAAAAAATGCCAGCAGGCCCATATAAAGTGTCTGCTAGATAGCCCATGTGGCCCCTTAAAATCAAAAGAGCAATTAAAAGTTTGATTCCACATAAACTGAGCAAAGCGTTTCATAACCGAGCAGAACTTATGACAAACCATGAATGGACCTTTGCAAATTTACAAACACTTGTCAGTATAATCCACAAATGTCATCACTATGAATGCCCATGTATTCAAAGTAAATGTACTTTCATTAATAAGAATGCATTCACTTTGTCCAATATTAAAATTTTTTGTATCAGTGTAATGGAATTGATATATACAAAATTTCATTTATAAAATTTAAAATACAGTGATGCTTTGAACTTTATAAAGATGACTACTGTTTTCAACCAAAATGCTACTTTTTTAACTTTTCATATATGACACCAAGCCTACATCAAGGCTCATACATTTGAAACATGTACATACAAGTTGTTTTTTTTGTCAACACTTTGCAAAACTAGGGAAGTAAAAATTAGAAACTTTTAATTTGTTTGGAGAATATACCTTACTGCATGTTAGGGCAAACACTTTTGAATCCAACTTTGCAGACTGCACTTGCCAAAAAAACAAACAAACATAATATTACTGTTTTACAATCGTATCACAATCGGGAATCATTGACTGTCGATAATTATAGAGCACAATCGGTCCAATTTCAATGTCATTGTGTAGTATTGTTGACAGTTTAACCTTAAAAACTGTAATGACTACAGAGAATTTACTTAAATCATATCAAATTTGAAATCGTTGAAACTATCAATAAATATGCCATACAAATAAAAATCACGATCTCTTTTCCGTTTTATATTTGAATGAGTGAAAAATAAAAATGGGGACTAACTCTGTGGCCAGTATATGATCAAAACATAACTTTATATGGTTGTTGTGAGAGACAAACAAATTACTGAGATTCATTGCCCAAATTCATCATTCACTTCAGCCATAAGGTCAAAGACTTTTGCTATAACTCTATACATTTTGAACTAAACCACTTTCTAAACCAAACAAAGTATTCCAATCAATGATCAAATAAAGAAACAGACTTTGAAAGTTTTGGTTCATAAAGAGAGAGGAATCTTCAAACTGGTTGATGAAAGATTTTTTAAATTGACCTTATTAAAAAATGCTCTTAATTGTATCTTCATTGCATAAATAATGACCAACTTTCCAACCTTGAAAAAAGAAAGAAATGACAACTTTAAATGCATCATGATAAAAATGACTTAGATTGTGCTGGTGGAATTACTTAAGATTTATCACATCCTGACTCAACACACATGCTTTCATCAAACGTGTTTCAAATCTCAGCACTTACACTGTGTCACTTTTCACATTTGCCTAAAATCACAAAATGTTAGCTATTACTGTCAATAAAGACGTATACACTCCCTTGTTAGTTACATGTGCAACAAGCAGTCTGTTATGACAATTGCTCACCTTCATGATTCTTGTTTTTCAGCCATTTGCTTCCTATTCGAAAAATCTAAAATATCTAGTTTTTGTTATTCAGAAGCAATCCAACCAATCAGCAATCACATTTGTTGAGCCACAACTAACTATAAGGTAACTTCTTGGAACTATGTATATTCATACATAATGGGACTGTTAAATGATGAAATGTAATGTTCCATAACTCTCCAATAGTTAGTTATTTTTGTAAATATTTGTATATACCTGTTTACCACTTTAAACTTATAGTAACATCCCCGAGTGACATGCACAATTCAAAAAATTGATGAAACTCCCATATTTGAAATTAATGGGACATTCCAAATTTCTAATTGCTCAGTTGTCATGCACTCTTCGGTAACCTCCCCAAACAATGAGCTAACACACAGTGATTTAGCAAAAAATGTTAGAAAATATGATTTTTCTTTTAATTTTAGGAAGGGTCTATTTTGTTACACTTTTCATTTTAGAGCAATATAAAGCAGTTATGGACTTATTTCTTAAAAAACAGACACATGCACTAAATAAACTTTTTAATAAGAGACCCAATTGTAATGAAACTTTGTTAGGAACTTCCCCTTATGATGTTGAAAAATTGTGCAAAGTTTCATACAAATTGGACTTAAACTGTGGAAGTCTTTTGTGGACAGATGGACATTAGCCTCTTATATATATATATATATATATCTACAGATAAAAATCATTTAAGTGGTCTGAAATAAAATAGTTTGACTTGTGTTGTTTTATTTTGCATAAAATACAAAATAAATTGAGATATGTGGATATCTTTAGTTTCTTTTCAATTCACATAACATCCATTACTTAATTCAGTGATTTTTCTGATAGCCTACACTATAGAGTACATTTTACAATGAGCTATAGGACTGGTCCCTAAAACTGCTTGCAAACCCCTAAACATGCATATTTTTGGGTCCTGATAATGATAGGACAATTCAATACCATGTGCAGGATCCCCAAAGATTCATTAAGCTCTGGGTTAATGGGGATAAGGCACTGGTTCAGGGGTTAACATTATAAGCTGGGCAGCAGTTAAATTTAGGTCTACCATGATGTTGATCATGGCAGGTGCATTAGTCTCCATGGGTCCCTGTCTTCGTAATGTAGATTTTGTCTTCTGATTCCCACTGGTCTGGGACATTGAGGCTCACCTGCCTACTGATTTAAATGAAAGCCCGCATGTGTCAAAGTGACAGTAACAAGAACAAAATAATGGTTCTAAATCTGACTAATTAATAATAAAATATTAGAAAGGTGATTTTTTCTTATATAGAAAAAATCAGGATTTAAATGTAAGGTCACTGAATTCTAGATGGATGGATATTGAGCTAGAAGTGTAGGGTTAAAGTTGTAATGACCCAGTTACAAAAATTCTCTGGACTAGCACTGCTTTAGGGAATAGTGTGTGAAAACTACTGCTGGGTCAAGTGCAGGGCCAGCCTTACATAAAGGCAAACCGAGGCAACTGCCTAAAGACACTGAGCTTCTAGGGGCACTGGGCACAATGAGCAGCAAGAGATAGGTTAGCTATGTAAAATTTAGACTTTATTATTACTTTGTTTATTATTAATAGTAGTAATAATACAGTAAAATACATTACCTGTCCTAGTCAGCCACCAGCACCCAGTAGCTCAACTAACAAGATATTGTATAAACATTTGCCAGTCAATCCACTCTTTATAGTTGACACCATAGCAAAATAAATACAAGCAACTCCAGTGAAAAAATGATAATTCCAGTTCATAACAACTTAATTCATATTTTGTGCTAAAAGAAAATACAACTCTTGTCACTAAATGTGAAGGAATTATATGTAAACACTTAGGTATAGTGGAGATGACTTGTGAATATTGTGTGGTCTGCTAATCATAAATTTCACTTTAATCAGCTACATTTAGTCTAAAGTCTCACTAGTCTACCCTTGATCTCCTACAACTCAGCCTCAGGACTAACTGGAGAAAAAACATCATGCCACATGTATGACTCTACCTCTCTGCAATTAAGGAACTGTATGTCCTCTGTGGAAGGTGCCCCTCCAATGTTAGACTCGTGAGGTGGTAGAAGAGGGGCATCAGTTGACTCAGTGTCTGAGACATGAACGTGAGTATTCGTATTCAAAGAACGTCTAGAAAAATGCATTTTGTTTTTTTTCGTAAAGTTAAGAAAATAAATAATAAACTCAAGCCCCACAAGAAGGATCTAAAATAATACAAAAGAAAACATTGCAAATGTAGTAACAATATTGAAGACAAACCCGCAGTAAACACGCAAGATTGTTTTCGTAATTTTTGCCATAAAGAAAAAGTGGATAAG